TAATTAATTCGTTTAAACGAAATAATTAATTCGTTTAAACGAAATAATTATTTCGTTTTAACGAAATACACTATGTTTATTTCGTTTAGACGAATTAATTTTTTCGTCTATTTCGTTTAAACGAAATAATTAACCCATCTTTTTATTTCGTTTAAACGAATTAATTATTTCGTTTAAACGAATTAGTTATTTCGTTTAAACGAATTAATTATTTCGTTTAAACGAAATAAACATAGGGTATTTCGTTTAAACGAAATAATAAATAAATATGTTTACAATTGCGCCTTAGGGGCTCCGTATCGATGAATACAATGATAAATAATTAAAAATTATTTAAACTATATTTACCAAAGACTGGAATTATGATGATTTTACTCAAACACTGTGTAGTTTCATTTCAAATTTTCATCTTATTTATATCGTTTGAATATTAATTTGAATCGTTTCCTTATTTCCTATTTTTATAGAATAATTATTATATTTCATGTAGGCCTATCAAGTTGCTATATTTGTATAAACTAATTCAAATTGCAAAAAGTGTCATTATCAATTGACTTTACATGGTGCCATCTCATTAAAATGCAGTTTCGTTTCGTGATTTTATTTATTTGTTTATTTCAGCTCGTCATCCATGATTTGACAAAAACTTTAACCAACGCATCTTTTGGGTCATTCAATATCCAGTGCATTTGCCACACTACCGACGGAAAATCAAGGGGAACCCAATTCTTCAAGAGGGCACCAAAACATTTGTCAACAAATGTCTGCAATTTGCGCAGGAGTGCCCCCTCTTGTTATGATTTTAGATATTCAAAATGTTATAAAAACAATATTGAATCATATTTCTCTTCTTGACTTCAAAAGGTGAACATACACAGATAAGTTGTGATAACGTCCTTTTTTTTAATTCCTGTACTTTCATTCTTGACAATTTTCTTGGCGGTCTGTGCTGCTCAATTAAATAGCATATTTTGGAAACTAAATTCATTTTAAGGTGCCAATTAACATACATTCTATTAGCTGACTCGTGTAGATTGTAATTTTGTTTTTGTCGTTATAGTATATCCAGGAGTATTTATTGCCTTGTTGTTTTTACCATCATAAATTTCATTGAAGACTTGATCGTCGTTTTCGTCACTTTAATATTCTCACGCATGCAGGTGAAGGCTACATGATTTTGGTACGCTGTGAGCAGAACTTTTGAGTGTTTCAGCAGTATTTCCAAAGATAAAGTCAGCCCCCTTTTATCTTAGGATGGGATCCGAGAGCTTGCCCCCAGTAAGTGAGAATTAAGCCCCAGCAGAATTTCTACAGTACAGCAGAGATGGATTAATTTGGAGTATCTGTGTACAAAATCAGAAAGACGAACGTTTCGATTGGGTTTTGGCACCTTAAAATCGTAAGGAATGAATTCCCGGGGCTTCTAATTTTTCAAATTTTCAGAGGGAAGGGCCCAAACTCACAGCTTGTAGAAGTCGTGGTGCTTTGTGTTAAGCACAAAGTCAGGGCCCCATCACAAATTTACTCCTGGCGATGGAGCCGGGTAAAGCCGTTTTCTGTTTTTGTTATTTATCAAATATACAGTTGCATCTACTGTATCTTTTATTTTCAACTACCACTTACCGACGTTGCATACCTGGATCCCCACTTCATTAATCAATTTTATTTCGTTATAATCCTGATACATTTCCCCCTCTAACCTCATTATATTAGGTGAGGGGGGTGAGCAGGGCCACAAAATCTAGACCCAGCGACACCAACCATCCACTCTCCCTCTTTCTTAAGAAAGTGTCCGTTAGAGCACCAGGCAGGAGGTGCTAAGGCTGTAGTCAGGGATATGGACCAAATTTTGTATATAGGTAGGGGTAGTACCTAAACACTTAAATATATAATACCAGACTGCATGATCATCCATTTCTACATGTTTTAGAGAATGTTATCCTCTCACTACATGGCAAGTTTGGAATAGATTGCTCAACTGACACCTGAAAACTGACGAGATACAAAACACAACGTGAAAATCATTATTTTTTATAATATGTTAGGTTTAACACCTTGAAGCACTCTCTTTGCAGGGGTGAGCAAGAAAGTATTGAGCTGCTTATGATTCTCTACCCCCCTACTATCAACATCAAAAATAAAATTTGTGGGAATGCATAAAAAGAGGACGGTAGAAAGAAATGAATATCATGACTAATCGGGTGGTCCATAAAAAAAACGATAACTCTTTTCATTTCTGGATTATTCATCGGGTATCGAAGCTAAGACCGTAATATTTTGACCTCATAATCATAGATATATTAGACATCTTTTCACAAAAAAGTAAAATTCCATGTCAGAATACTTTGTGCATAATCCTGATATGAAAAGTGTTATCGTTTTTTTAGAACCACCCGATATAATATCAAGCAGAGATTTTTTCAACTAGATACAATTCATTGACATTAAATCCGTGAATATCACATCGCCATCAATTTATTCATCCAAATCGGATATTATTCTTCGTCGTAGGCGACGTCGTTCCACCACCTGTTCTACAATATTACAGTCGTTATTTTCCACATCAATGGTTGTCGCAGGCTTATTTGATTCTGCATCTAGGTGTCCACATTTTTGCAAGGCGGCCAATCTTGAAAAGTAAGAGGCAATTTGTCTCGAATTCAACCAATCATCCTTGCTTTGTTCTGAACAGGAGAAAAGTGTTTCAGTGGTACGATGCGCAGCACCAGTATATATTTGAGGAGTGGAATATTCCACCACAGTGAACATTGGCCGCACATTACACTCATTTTTCCGTAAGAGTTTATCATAACTGTGTAGTACTCCTTTTCCGATTCCAAACGCTTTCCAAACCCTTACACCATTTTCTTCATAAGTGAAATTGGTCATTGTAGTGATTCCAGTCCATGTGACGCGTTCACTTATTACTGTTTCATCAATGTTCATGACACTAACGTAGCAGCCGCGCACTCCGTTATACGACCTACATGCATCAAACATCTCAGATGCCGTTGTAACATTGTGGTCCTCATTAATATATCGTTGGATATGTGCTTTTAATGAGGCGATTTTTCTGTCACAAATATCCTTTCCAGCCTGAGCTTCAGAAAAATCATACGCAGTGATAGTAACATTTTGACGTTTTGCAAGCGCAGGCACGGATAAAATTAACGGTGCACAATGGTTGCTTGCTGGGATTCTCTGAATCGAGTGGGCAAAAACTTCATTGTAGTCCATTGTAATAAAACCTTCATTTTGAACTAACCGTTCAAAATGTCATTTTCGCCCGCTCTTGATTGATGGCACGCACGATATACGCCCTGTAATTCAACACTGCACTTTTGGCATTTTGAAAGTCATAAATCAATTCTTCTTTTTGACTTTGGTATGAAAACTTCAATTGAGCAGCGGAGTAACCGCTCTCAATTTTTTCCAAAACTGAATGAATTTTCTCACAGTTTGAACAGCTCGTAGTGTGTTCATGATCACACTCTTGTTCCGAGAGCAGAGCATAGGTAATGCAATGACTTGCCTAAGCGTTGAAAAGCCGTTCACTCAACAGCAATGTTATCTAAACCTGCAAGAGAAACCTTCTTTGATGCAGCACAGACTTGAAGTATATTATACATAATAGTGCGTCCAAGTGGTTCAAAGTCAATCTCTTGACAGTAGGACTTGTACAGGTCTATAAGTCTAGATGCAATGACTGTACGTACGACATTTGGTATCTCTAATTTTTCTCCGTGACTTAACTTCATATTTTTTGTTCCATATGCCACGTCTTGTGTGTATTCAGGTCTTGAAATGAAATCCAAGAAATGATCAACTTTTGTATCGTCCAGTCTTTTTCTTATTACAGGATGACTCTCTACTGGTTGTGCATGGCCAGCTTCCATAGCCTGTTTTCTTGCCTGGTCGATCCTGTACTTTGTCAGACCCGGTATCTAATCCAATAGCGCTGACTTAGTATCTTTCTGAACAAATATTGACAAAATTTGGCGCTTTGTTTGCCAAGAGGAGGCTCGATTGTAGCAGTTTACAAGTTGTTCAAGGAGTTTATCATCCGAATCAATACCCGTCTTTTCTGATTTCATCACAATATCCATTATTTTTTCCTCCTGATTCGGGGCAATCAAATTCAACACAATTGATATAGTATCCTGTGTTTTGTTTTTATAATACCACATTGTTGAAGGAGCAATATCTTCGATAGGTTTTTCAGCTGACCTCTAATCGGTTCTCTTCCAGAAGTTTTCAAAAATGCATTCAGAATACCAATTTCACTTCTAGCTAGAGCCGGTGTTGGAGCCCAGACTTGTCACAAGAGAATGCATCTTCAAATGTTACTCTAGTCTCAGAATTCGATGGTGGATCTGAGCTACTACTATCCCCCTGATCTGATTCTGTATCAAATACTGGTTGTGGGAAATGTGCTTCTGCAAACATAGGTGTTGAAGTCGAGGGCAATGGCGAGTTGAGCTCTGTAGGCATTGTCGTTAAATTTGTTGCAGATGGAATGGAAGGAGTTAGTGGCATTGAAGACAGTTGTGAAGATGCAACAGCACTATGCTGACTCTAACATGTTTTGCATATGCCGGAACCAACTGGGACCAGAACATTCCATCGCTCATAAATTTCTTGTGATAAAGACAGCTTCACTCCCATTTGACTTGGTTTCATTTTTGCTAATCTTTGCTTATGAAGTGGGTGTGCACAACCTCTGGGTTTATTCCAGCATAATCCAAGTCTGTATCTATATGCAGGGCAAACAGTCATCGAAAAATTACCAGTCCGGCACAAAATCAGTTCATATTATATTTTGTTTGGGAGGTTTACTCGCCTCAAATGTCCAGAAATGTCCTTGTTACAGGATGTAAGTGGTATGATGATCGTTTCATTACTGTATGTGGAGTGATTTCCGCATGAAATCATCGGGACAAACCGTGCAATCGAGCAGTTGGTAATCATTTTGACGTTAATTTCTGTAAAGCGTAAGTCGAGTTCTCTCACCACAGCAAAGACTTTTGAAAGGTGTCACTGAGCAGATTAAATTCTTCTTTCAGAATGGCAATAACCTTTTGAACAGGTAATTTGTATCACAACTATATTAGTTCTCGAAGATTTGAGAAAGTCTTCATTCACATGAGAAAAATATGACGTAAAATTTCAAATTTTTTCTAATTTTTAAGGGACTCTTTCTATGCAGTGATCTGTGTTCCTCAATTTTTTTTGGCTGGCACTTTTAAGGCAACCTTTGGTCTATTCGAACATCACATGCTAGTTGGTCTCAGCCCTGCAAAGACAAAGCTAGAGCTTATCTAAATTTGTATAGGAAAAGGCGTATGAAAAAGACCTATTTCAGAAAGTTCAGTAACATTACTACTGGACTAGTACTAGCAGCATACTTATGTTCGGGTGAAAGTGAACTAAATGATACATCATTCAATTCAAAAAATCAGACCGAGGGTATCAAGTGTTATTCATACACTATGGGCGAAGTTTGGACAAAATGATCAAAAATTACGATGATTTTCTCATGAAAAAAGTGTGTTCGATTTCTTCGCTTGTAACGGGTCGGGGAATGAATCATTTCAGCATGTGACTCCTAGCACCTATGAGGTCTTATGACATGATTTTAGTAAAAATATTCCAACTTCCCACCTTAGCACTTTTCTTGATATTTGCCTGGTGCTCTCACGGACGCATTCTTAAGAAGTGTAAGAACGAGGAAGAGGGAGAGGGGATGGTAGTTTTTAAAGCAACAATGAAGAGTAAGAAAGAGGAAGAAATAAAATGAAAATTAAATGAAATGAATGGAGTTTTATGTCCTACTTTTCTGCACAATAAGGGCTAATGAAGACTGCAGGGTGCCATGAGGGCAATTTTGCCAGGACAGCAGAAATAAAATGAAATGAATGAAGTTTTACTTCCTACTTTTCTGCACCATGTGGGCTTATGGAGACGGGCAACGCAATGCACGGTACAATGAGGAAAATGTTGCCAGAGCAACAAAGAATGGCAAAATCGAATTTATTTTTTTATAAGAAACTAGAATGTGAAAATCAAGTTACTTCATTAAATTTTGCTGTTCTTCTGCTTTGTTTGCTCTTGAGAGGCAGGAGGTGGGTCAAAGCAGGGCGAGGTAGAAGTTCGAGCTTTTGCTGTTTGTTGACGCCAGGATCGAGATTCAGATGTTCACTGTGGATCAGATTTAGGCACAGATGATCCTGGGCGTGCGCCAGAAGATGAACCTTGTGCTGCGCCAAATAATCTTTAATTTTCAAAAAATCTAAAAATTATTCTTCGTCCAAATATAAAAATGAAGCTTGTGGTGCAGCATCCAATCCAGCTTGTGGTGCAGCATCCAATCCAGCTTGTGGCACAGCAGCCATTCCAGATCGTGCTGCAACAGCCAAGCCAGATTGTGGTGCAACAGCTAATCCCGCTTGTGGTGTGGCGGGTTGAGCAGGGACGTAGGGCTCGATCAGCTGTTAAGCACTAGTCTCTGGAACAGCAGACTGTGCTGGTTCCATTAACCTTTGAAGTTATGGGGACACCCTGAAAGAAGAGTCAATAGTGAGTCCCTTATGCTCCCTTAACCTCCTTAGCGAGGTTGTGTCACCCATGACACTCTTAATAATGCTGGTCTCCCTACCCGTATTGCGTGGATTTCAAATCTTATGGGGACTTATGGGGCGGTTCGTGAGACTTTTTCCTCTTCAGCCAAGAGAAGTATCTCCTTTCAGGTCCACAAAGCCTCTCTTCTTCTACTTCTTTATTTCTCTTCTCTTCCTTTTCTGCTCCCTTTGTCTCTTCTTTTCAATTTTCTTTTCCGACTTTTCATGTTCTCTCATACTATTTTTAAAATTCATCCAGTTCCCTACCAGATTTAAACCGTAATCTGAATCTACTCCTTCAAACTTCTGGAATGTGGAATGTATCGTCTTCACTTCCGGGTGTTTCTGGCCTGGATGGACCTTGGGACACATTATTTCTGTTGCTCACTCTGAAAGATCTGTGAGATGAAATGGTTCATTTCCGATCCTTGAACCTCTGTCTGGATCCTTTCTTACGTCTTCCTCTTAATCGATTTCACTCAGAATTAATTCTACAACTTCCAAAACGAACGAATGGTCTTCCTGTCTTTCAACAATAAAGTGTTCGGCACCTTTTGATGATCCCCGGGTTTTCTTCTTCCTCCCCATTGTCTTCAAAAAATTTAGAGACTGACTATGAATTGAGAGGGGTCTCTGCAAGATTGTGGCGAGCGAGTGAGACCTTTGTGAGGTGGTGTAAATTTGTTCCGTGAAGTTCTGCATTCAAATGTTTTCCTGCTTTCAACATTTTTAGATTTCTTATCCTTTGAGGTGTGTTCTACTTGGCTCGGCTTCTTCCTCTTGAGGCCCTTCCACACGATTTTCGGCTCTTAGGGTTTATCTTTTGATCCATCCTCTTATTCTTGCTTTTCTTTCAGACTCCATCGTCGTCCCAAACGACTTTTTCTACATCGGTGTTTGGTGTAGCCTTCTTTCATGCCGATGAACTGTCAGAAAAGACAAAAATATCTAAACTAAAATTGCGCCAAAGGTTGTGCGCAAATTCGGGAATCAAAACATTTTAAATCAAGAAACGAATATGTTTAAAAGCTTCTGACCCAATTCGGACAGTTCGGGAATTTGGAATTTAGCATGTCCGTTTAAGTGAATTCGAAAACTAAATTCGATTGAAAGAACTTTCATTTATATTTAAGTTCTTCTCTTCTAGGCATATTAAAGATATTTAATATACTAACAACCTCTTTGGTTTCCTGTTCATGAATTCCCAAACTTTAAATAGTTATATTTTGACGCAAACTTAAAATAAACTTTGGGGATTTTTACCAACAATATTTTAGCCAATTAAATAACTTGTCAACCCTATGTGGGAACACAGCTACCTTCAAAATGACAACATTCTGGACTAAAATGAAAGGTATCTTTACGTCCTACTCCTCTGTCCTACCTAATTGGGCTAGTGATGCCATGCAGTGTTCCGGGTTGAAAAATTCAAAGGTTTTATATCGACCTATGCCGAGATTGAACAATGGAACCTCAGGTAAGTCAGCTAGCGTCGAAATCACTGATCCAACGTGGCTCCAATATCTTAAGACTAGCTTCAGAATGATACCTTAAACAAGCTCGAACTTCAGAATATCTTAGACAAGCTCGAACTTCAGAATATCTTAAACAAGCTCGAACTTCAGAATATCTTAAACAAGCTCGAACTTCAGAATATCTTAAACAAGCTCGAACTTCAGAATGATATCTTATATTAGCTCCACCCTCAGAATGATATCTTATATTAGCTCCACCCTCAGAATGATATCTTATATTAGCTCCAACCTCAGAATGATATCTTATATTAGCTCCACCCTCAGAATTATATCTTATATTAGCTCCACCCTCAGAATGATATCTTATATTAGCTCCAATCTCAGAATGATATCTTATATTAGCTCCAACCTCAGAATGATATCTTATATTAGCTCCAATCTCAGAATGATATCTTATATTAGATCCAATCACAGAATGATATCTTATATAAGCAAGAAACAAGAAAATTTCTATATTTATTTGTTTAATAATTGCATTATACCAATATGGACATAAATATCACAGATTCTTATCTAAAAACAGATTGCCAGGGTCCAATTTAAGCAGTATCATATCACAGAAATAACAAAATAATACTGTTTCTAGATCACATAAAGAAAGACAAAATATCATGACAAAATAAAACATCTAGATTACAAAAAATCATGAATAAAGACAAAATGTTATGTCATAACAGAAAATATTACTGTTTCTATATTACAAAAAATCAAAAACAAAGTTATGTCATAACAGAAATCTTACTGTATCTAGATTACAAATAACACAAAGAAAGACAAAATAACATGTCATAACAAAACAGCGATCATCTGCATTGGATTAATGCTGCTGTCATTTAGTTTCAGCAATATTTAAAAATATTTTAATGTAAATATAGTATAATATATATTAATAATGAAATAAAATGATGTATTTTTCCTCGGTCATATATCAGTAAAGGTTAACTAAATATGAGAGGGATTCAAAAAAGATTTTTGAACCTTGATATGGAATGGAATTATAGAAATACAAACTTTAAGTTTCCTTATAAACAAACACAAGGCTATACATTACATTGCATAGAACTATGAACTGTATAATATAGCTTCTATACATAGACTTTCCAAGAAATTATATACATTACCCAAACTATTATAGCATGCAATACATTGTCCAAGTTAGAAATTATGGAATGATACAGAATGCCTAATCTTTCAAAAAATTTTTCTCGGAAACCATATTTTTATCCTGTCTTTTATGAACTATTTTACAGATTTTCTTAACAATATATAACTTGACTTGGGGACTATATATTGATATAGATTGCCCATACATAATTTATCTACTACAAAGTATGTCATAATTTATACTGGAAATAAATATAGATTGTCTAGTATGGCTTGACATAGATTATAGATTATACCACTGGTTGGGGTGTAAAACTAGTAAATGGAGTGGCATCAGGAACTATGGATCTTGATTTTCTTAAACCACTTGTCAGCAACCTTGGTGGAACTGTTTCTAGATTATTCTCATCAAATATACCTGGAATGCAAATACACATTAACACTATAAAAATTAATATAGCAAAGTACCATCTGAAAGAGCTCTGTTCAACCATAGAACATAATTGGCATAAATTTTTAATGTGTTTGGGTGTGGGGGTATGAGTTTAGGTGTGGGGTATGAGTTTGGATGTGGGTGTATGAGTTTGGGTGTGGGTGTATGAGTTTGGATGTGGGGTATGAGTTTGGGTGTGGGGGTATGAGTTTGGATGTGGGTGTATGAGTTTAGGTGTGGGTGTATGAGTTTAGGTGTGGGGGTATGAGTTTGGATGTGGGGGTATGAGTGTGGATGTGGGTGTATGAGTGTGGATGTGGGTGTATGAGTTTGGGTGTGGGGGTATGACACCTAAGAAAAATGTTCACCTGTAAAAAATGTTTATTTTGATTTCTATGGATATTAATGTACCTGTGAGACCCACTGTTCTACTTATATGTTTCAGCTTCGGTAGATAATTGATTTTCATTTCATATATTCCAATTATATTATATTAATCAAATAACTGCACAAACAATACTCTCTCACTACAGGTTAAGCCTGTATGCCTGTGCTTTTGTAATATTGTTTACCTGCAATTTACAACCAGATCAGATGCCAGACCTCAATCCATTTTATGAAAAAAAAGAAGTTAAGGAACTTTCCTTAGAATTATAAACGTTCAAAAAGCCTTTTTAAAGTTTTTATCATCACCATCGTAAAAGGGCATTATGCAAAATTTTAATTGTCAAAACCATTATAAATTATACCTAAAAATATTTTAGATATTATATCATATACATCTATGTATCTACTTGATCAAACTGGATTTGTTTTACAAGGGATGATTAAAAAAAAGTGTAAGAATTGTTATGTAAGCATCTTAACCTAGATTTGGTGTTGAGAATCATTATGACTACACATTGTTATTTGAAACTTTTAGTATACATAGGAGACATATTTCTCTACAATAAGGTGTTTATTTTGTTTAAATTCACTAAGTAGTTTTCAAACACCTCACAAAAAAGCTTAACAAACTTTAACCTTTTAAATATTTTTGGCATTAAAATATCAATGGCATGATTTTTTAGTCAAAACTTTAAAATAAATGCAGGGACATATTTCTCTAGATTTTGGAATGTAGTTTTCATACATTTGAGCAAAATAATTTCCAACAGGCAACGAAAAAAAACAGAATGTCCCTTTAAGGCTGTGTGCTATGAACATGTAGAATGAAGTAAAAGGCTTACCACAGCTATCCAAATTATCAGTTAAATTATTAACATTATAAGGTGAACCTGTATTGTGGTTGTAATGTCTATCATATGTTGTTCTCTTCTCACATAACAATCTATTCCCGTTAGTTAATGGAACTGAAAAACAATATTCATAGCTTATTCTTTAAATAAATATAGTCATCTAACATCACAGCTCAATGTCAGCTTTCGGGAGTCCCGTTCAAAATCAAAATCTGCTCTGTAGTTCTTAAACAATTAAACTAAAAAAGGTAATGAGAAAGTTTAGAATGAGGTCACTTTAAGACAGTATTAGGCATTTGACATCATTTACACCCTGGAAGTAACAACAGTATGAACTTTTACAGTGTGTGTAGGTGAATCTGATGTCAAATTCATATTTTGAAAATTGATAAATATAGCTAGAGTTTAACATAAGCCGCGTTTAGACAGCCATAAAAACTGGCCCACCTGAAGTTAACCGTACTCGGTCCGGACTCAGCCCGGTTGGCCTGTACCCTTTACATAGCACTGTTTTCACTAGGCCAAAATCAAAAGTAGACCTGCTCTCCAGTCAGAGGAGGCGAAAAAACACAAACATACAAAATGGCGTCCCGCTATAAACAAAGCTATGATTTTGCTGAGTATTTGTTGAATTTCTCGTTTAAAACACAAACGAACCTTAAGAATCTCCAATTTTTTTTTGAGAAACACAGCACCTTCCAATTGAACTTGGGATGATCTCGTCACCCCAAATAGCGATCAGAGCTTCGGTCTCTTCATCACTCCATGTAGCTCCCCGTTGGGCACACATTTTAACAGTAAGTCGATCCTTTTTTGTCAAAGTTTAGCCTAGCTTGTTGTTTCCGCGAATAAAGTAACAGGGTCAAGGTCATTATTGCACATGCGCACAAGCCCCCCGCTAAGTGGATCAAATTGGCCCGGCACAGTGGCGCGTTTACACAGCACTAATATTTTGCCGTGTTGTACTCGGTACGGACCGAGACCACCTCTTTTTGCGAGACTCGGCCCACTTGAAGCTAGCACGGGGCCGAGCCCTCTCAACCCGTTTACACAGCCACTTTTTATGCCGAACCTTACTTGGTCCGGACCTTGCCCGGATAAATTGTGGCTGTCTAAACGCAGCTATTGAGTTCTTTTAGCTTCTAAAGCTATAAATCACTGTATCCATTAATATGGGATATCAATATCATCAAACAAGCAGAATAATATTATTTACCAAAAATCTTGTCCAAAGCAAGACAAAATTAGGAGCAATAATAGTACAGTGGTGGACTCCTCAAACGAGTAGTACCATCAGGTGTTTCTAAAAGAATAAGAATGGCCTGATTTGTTAAGTTTGTAGATTCAGTAGATCAGTAGAGTCATAATTACATCAAGATGACCATTCAAACGACTAGATTTGTCTATAATGTCAGCTTGTACATCACCAACAGGGAAACACCGGGTAAATACAAAAGAATTATTTCCATGCATGTTTGAAAAGATAGAAAAGTACTTACTTGTTCCATAAACTGGAATGTGTTTACGACCATTAGTACCATATCTAGATGTAGAGAGTTTTAATATTTCCTGTTGTAATGGCTGTTGATAGGTTGATCTTTGGAATGTATCTAGTGTATGTGGGGGTTTTACCATTAGTGATGAATTCGTTAAATCATTCTGTACTATTTCATAACCTAAAATAATAAATTTCAACAAATCTCTAGATTTTTCAAGGCAAATCTCCAGATTTTTTTTCTTAACCTGTACACATGTATGCTAGCAAACTTCTAACTTTTGTACATTTTAGCTCACAATTGAAATCAGACAGCACGAAACAGAAAATAATAAAGAAAAGACCTCTACCTTGTGGCATACCAAGATAATCTGACTGATACGTAGAACGACATAATCTTCTATGAATATCATTTAATTTAGCATCAGTGACATGTTCTCTAGCCATGTCTCGTTGTGGAGGTTTCAGATTGGTGGGGAATCTCCATGTCAGAAATTGCTGAAGTATAAATGATTGTTCATTGAGAATTATGAAATATGAACCAGATATTTGATTAACATAAGTAAATATTATACAATAATCAAATATTGTCACTGTTAAAATAGTGCTCAATACAAATGTAGAGCTACAAATATATTATGTATACATTGTAAATATGCGATATTGTCCTAGAATTACAAATGAAATGAAATGAATGGAGTTTTACGTCCTACTTTTTGCACCATGTGGGCTAATGAAGACAGGCATTGCCATGCAGGGTACAATTAGGGAAATTTTGCCACTGTCACTGTTAAAATAGTGCTCAATACAAATGTAGAGCGATAAATATATCATGTATACATTGTAAATATGCGATATTGTCCTAGAATTACAACTGAAATGAAATGGAGTTTTATGTCCTACTTTTTGCACCATGTGGGCTAATGAAGACAGGATCGCAATTAGGGAAATCTTGCCAGAACGGCTGCATTAGCCTGCCCTTTTTTGATTTCCAACTGTCGATCTTTAACATGCACAGTCTGTAGCACATGGGCCTCGGTTTATTGTCCCATCCGTACGACTTGACTCTTTTTCCATGTCAGCCCCTCTTTCCTGCATCACTGACATGGGGAAACTGGGTTGAAAAATCCAAAGGTATTACCTATGCTAGGATTGAACTCTGGACCTGTGGGTTAGTGAGCAAGCATCTAACTCACTGAGCCACTGTGGCTCCCCTAGAATTACAAGAGCAACAGGTGTCAGTTGGGAATAAAGAAAAATGAGAAACATGTTATATGGGATCTGAATACAAATACAAAGTCTAATCCCAACAAGGGAGTTGACAAACCTTAGATGGATGTGGTTTGTTGCTTCTGTTACCAGAAGCTGTACCAGTTCTATAGTAATGATTTGGATTTGGATTCTTTCGAGCATATTCCTCATCATAATGTGTATTGTGGTTCATAGGTTTATGTGGTGCAAAAGATGTTCCTGTGGTCATTGGTCTAGTTGCTATGGTAACTTGGTGTTGTTTATAAGGATATTGTTTTTTATATGTTGTTGCATAGGGTGATTTGAACCCATCAGAACCAATATCATTTTCTGAAAAATAAATGAATAATGCATGCTTTTTTTATTTGTTATTTTTATTTTGAGCTATTAAAAGCCTTGGTCCTTTCTGGGTAAACTATAATCGTTGATCACTGAACAGTACAGCAGAACAATCCAGTAATGGACCTTTAAAAGGAATATATAATCATCTAATTATTTAGCCATCCATATCACTTCTCAGAATTATTATCTGCCTTCTAGTTCCCCTACAATTTCACCAGTGGGGTTGAAATTAAAACTGTCAGCTCCTGAGGACTGGCACACACAACTGTTACAGATATAACGTGATAAGCAATAAGTCTGTGAATTATACATAATAGTCTAAGATAGACATCAAGGCTGATCCTACATCACCAATTCTTTTTCAATCTTAGTGAAACGGGAAGTCATATCTTAATTCTGAGAAGAGATGCAGACAGATGAACTGGACCAGATCATAAAGCAAAAAACTATATCATCTTTATAAAGCAAATTTTTAACAAATGTAAAAAAAAATTGAAACACAAAAAAATATACCTGTTTCAAACATGATAAAATATAGCAAGGGCTTCAAATAATAATAGACTGTCACTGTTTATCATCCAAAATCAACTGATCAAAGTACTTGAACACAGTGAGAGTTACTAGGTAGAGAGGGATTAACAAGATTTGTTCTACTGATTAACAACCTAACACCCAATACTAATCTCATAATCCAAACAATAGTGTTAATGACCTCTTATTGATAATATCTATTTCATTTTCTCAAACATGATTTTCTTTGAACTTTATTTATTGGTGGAAAATAAATCTTATTTCCCATTGTTGAGTATTGGTCTAATGTTTGTATGACATGGAATATGGCCATCAAATTACTTCATGGAAAATGTGACCAGGATCTGTTTGATTTTCAAATGATTATTCAGATATGATAAGTCAAATTTCATGATTTGTAACATATAATAATGTTTTTCTTTATTGATTTTGCACAAGAATGTTATTTGGTAGGAGGGCCAGATCTTTCTTTAGAGGGGGCAGCATTGGGTTGATAGTTCAGCACTGAGCCCTTTCAATGTCATCCAGCATGTAAAGAGAGTCAGTTACTGGACATGTCTCCCCTACTATCAATGGTATAAATATCTTTACAATGGTATCCCCAATCTGTAAATGGTTTTTAGATGTAGATAGAACATTATTAGTGTTTTTATTTATTTATTGACTGTATCTCTTTAAAAGTTTATGAGAAACCAAACCATGTTGTTACAAAAAAAAATGATACCAAGTAAATGCAGTGCACCCCCAATTCCGGTGACTGGTGATACTACTGAAGGACTGACAAAAACACAACATACCTAATACTGGCATAGCAGTGTGGGGTCTTTTCTGTATCCTTTCTTCTGCTTTTCCCACAGCTTTTAAGGCATCTGCACATTTTTTCCTGTCTGCACCACATGCTCTCAAATAAGCATATTCCAGATGTTTTTTAAATCTTGGACCTAGGTTTGTGTAATCAATCTAAAAGCAAGGAATATCATATTTAAGCCAAATTGAAAAAAAACAATTAAAGGGACATAACCCCACTTTTTTCAAAAGAGCAAATGTTTTGATACAGCTCTTGATTTCAATCAATCAATCAATATCAAATTCATTTTATCACAATTTAAGGGGGGGGGGGGGCGGCAAACATTATTTTCCCCCTTAAGATCGCCGGGGGGACAATGTTCGCTTGAACGACTAAAAGACTTCATATCGTGTAGGTCAATCAAGAAGGCCAATTTAACTGTGGTCTTAATTATAAAAATTTCAAAGCATAAATAACAAAGTTATGAAACATAAGAATTGAATTAAAAAACTCTGACTGAGGCAAAGTATGTTATAGATCCGAACAGTGGTTGACCAGGGTGAAAATCACTCACCGTGTCGCAGTTATCATCGTTATTTTCGGCACTTGCCAACGACTGCCGATCATAAACAAACGCCATCTTGCAGCATAGCAGTAATAAATTCAAGCCGGTACGGTAATTTTGATGTTTGCAACCATTTGCAATTTTCATCTGAAATTTTATCAAAAATAAAGTATGTAAAAAAAGTCTTATGTTTCCAATAGTGGTATCTCATATTGACTATGTACTATCTTAAAGTCGATGAACTATTTTATTAATTGAGTCTCGGCCGACTTGAGTTTAGTTCACCCAATATCTGCTACTGACCAGTGTAATTTACAGACACGGATCTAACTCAATCGAAACATTCCTTTAGAGTACAGACTTCGTGTATTCACAGCTCCCCCTTCCCCTCCCCCATCAGTTATTGGTTACAGATGGTGTTGTAAGAATCCGTTTTCGGAATGTACAGAATCAGACTGATATCCACCTGCTCAATCCCCAGCCAATCAAATAAGATTTGGATATCGATGGCTATATTCAAAGTTGAATTTAAAAACTATTTACAAATTTATACACAGGCTTTGATGGAAGTTAAGTCTTGTTTTTTAGATTTTTTGGCCCAATATGGATAATTCGGAAAGTTCGGAATTCGGAATTTTACACTCACCGTCAAGCAGCCTCGTCTACCGAATCGTTGTGTAGTTACGGAACTGGTTTATCTGGTTCTATGTTTTGTTTATATCAAAGACAAGGTTGTTAAATAACTAAGCCCTAACATACTTAAATGTGATCGACATTTTATAAGTAGGACAATAATAGGCCGCGAGTTCTGTATATTTAGTTGTATAAAGGCCCGTTTAATAACCAGTCCAATGTGCCAGGGGGTGACCGCTGTTGCATGGGAGGTCGGGGGGGGGGGGGGGGTGGCAATAGCTAAAAGAGACTGATAACATTATTGAAAAGAGTGTAGGCTTACTTAAACGCAGATGAAAAGCTAACTAGGAATATACATATACACAAACAAAATATATAATAGGTCTATATATCGTCTTGTGTAAACTCAAAAATATTGTTCAAGGGAGGCAATATAATTTTAAAACCATATAAAAGGTTTTAGGTTATAAATTTAGCCTTTTCATTATTAAATTCCCTCTACTCCATTAATGCAGAAGGGGATTAAAAATTACTAGACTACTAAGAATATATTTAGCAGGTTGAAATGAGGCCTAACATTCACTTTGTTAACTGTTAGAAATTAATATCAGCTACCCATAGTCTCGTGTATAGTAATAAAGCTCTTTTTTTTCATTTTATCCAGATTTTATTCTCTGTTCAAGCAACAAACTTGTCGCACGGTTTTGTCTCCCTTCACAACTCTCTTATTCACATTAGTACGTTCATTCCTTCACTCTTTCAATCTTTCCATTGGTCTCTTTTTTAGTTTCTGATTTTTTTTATGTCTTGTCTGGCCTTTTCTGATCTGGTATTCCAGAAGAATTAAAATTGAAAATACGCATTCGGGGCGTTTATTCCATAACAGAATTGGTAAAAAATGGCTGTTGAGATTTTTGGAAATAGCGAATTAAAATATGACGCGTGACTTTCTTTGATTTCTTAATACAAACTTTTAGTCAATATAATATGTTAATTTTCATTGTACAATTTATTGCAGGATCGTTTACTTCTCCCAGGTGTTGAAAATCGGTGCAAAGACCAATGAACTTAAAATACTATTGTTATACTGTAACCAAGCCTAAGAAAATCAGTAAGAAACGAATATCAACATGTTTTATCATTGATTTATAATGATATTCAAATTGAATCGAAACTATAAAACCCAGGATATATTGGGGTACGATAAAAACATGTTTTGAATGCGAGTTGTATAGTCAAAATCGTCTATTCATAATCACTTTATCTATTTGAGTTCCGCAAACATAATAGATAACCCAAATCTTGTATTGAAAAAAAAATAGGTCGCATAATATCAAGTAGGCCTTATAGATAGTGTATATTATTTTATATTAGATATTAGTCGTTTTAATAACCATAAGTAACCAACAGAATGTATTTTCATAATACATGTATTTCAACCTTATTGCTCTTGTTACCAACTTAACAGGTGACTAGTTTAGCTTGATGCTGCATCCCAATCACAGCCTAGTTAAAAACAGTAGCTCAAGATGAATTATATTGTGTGTCACTACTTACTTTGGTACAGTTTTTAAATTTTGTTTTATTTTTTCTGGGGTTTGGGTTGAGGCCTTAGTTGTTCATTAAACCGATTTCTTATGTGATGGGTTTAAGATTTCTGTACTGTTTGGTATTAAAAAATTAAGCTGACTTAAGTGTACTGTTGCTCAAATATTCCAATATTTTAACTGATATTATTCGGGCAGCTCATGATCTGTTGAAATTGGATAGTTAAACCCAAATTAATAAAAAAAACAACAAATATTTTGACCTTTTTATCGTTCTTAATCAAGAGGTATGCTCGTAGGCGTAGCTATTTGTTGGGTGTTTTAACCACGCCTAAGGAGGCCATAATTTCGTTTATTTCACTTCTTTAAAAATTTACTGTTATCAAACGTTCCACTTGGCCAAATTTATGCTGAATAAACATCATTCTTTTTGAATATACCCGAGGTAGGTCTGAAGACATTCTGTAACTAACACAATACATTATCTAATCATTGCATAATCAAAATGAAATGGAATGGAGTTTTACGTCTTACTTTTCAACACCTGTTTGTGCTAATGATAATGCTCAATTGGTATATAACAACCATGTAACTTATCAGAACGGCATCTTTTTTTGAATTAAATAATGATGTATAATTCTTATTACACCAATAATATTATTTATAGATCATAACCATTATACAATCAATGTATTAGATATATTATGAATTACGCTTTTCAGTCATTTTAGACCCTGTATAGAAGCCATACCTTGTATCCTTGTCTTCACGAACTTGATATGTTTGGGTATATTTTAGATATTTCCTTGTTTTTTCAGAAATTATTATAATAAATAAGATATATAATGTTCTATGTTAATCACAAATGGAAATTGAATACACACTTTTCTATTCATTTACAAATTATTATGATATTAAATATTCATTGTTATATTTTATTTACAGATTATTATGAACTCAAATATACAAAATATTTACAAAGAGTAATGGTTTAAATTTTACAAAGAGTAATAGTATAAATTATTCATTGTTCTATTTCAGTATCAAATATAATAGTATAAATTTTTCATTGTTCTATTTCATTAAAAAATATAATGGTATGAATTATATTGTTCTATTTCATTTACATATTATAATGGTATGAATTATACATTGTTCTATTTCAGTATCAAATATAATGTATTAATTATGTATTATTATACATTGTTCTATTTAAAGTCTGATGGTATACATTATGTATTGTTTTATTTCAGTTATAAGTATAGTGCAGCTTATATTCTAAGGGTATTTCTCGGGAAAATACTACATTTTATGTAGACCGAATAAGATTTCTCATTTATATATGATTTACTCGATTTCATACGCTGACTTATATTTACATGCAAGGTTATATTTTGAACAAGAACAAAGGTTTATAAAGTAATTAATTATGTCTGTCAGGTTGCAATTATGTATGTAAACATTATATTTAAAAATTTGTTTGTTACATGTATAGTTGTATACACTTAATAAATCACTGTGTAGTGTACGTTTAAATGAATTCTGTGAATTAATTTATTTATTATTTCCACCTATACATCCATATACCATATTTTATAACACTGGGCCTCCTGATTCTTGTCATGTCGAGTTTTCCTCTATGATATATACTTGATGATGTTTCATGCCATTCTGCGGAGAAGATCCTATTCGATTTTTCCACGACAAATGTGGTTTAAACATAAAAAGAAAAGCACTGTCCGAAAGGAACCTTGTCATGGAAATTAACTTATTGAAGAAACGTCACCTGCAAAACTCGTGTAAACGATGTTTAACTTAAAAAAAAAAGCAAGTAAGGCAAGAACATGTTTACATTTTATCTCACTACAGGAACTTTTATGCAAAGCGGCATTGATGTCTGAAATTATCAACTAGTAAAGCGATTATTTAGAAGACTAGAAAATATTTTGGAAATTGAAATTGTCATTATTGCTCTTGATGTGTTGGATCGAGAAATAATGATGTAAAAATGCGACTAGGGGTTTTGTCATTGTTAAATCTAATTAATTAAATACGCTACTTCTGTGTCTTTGACCGAATAAAGCGTTATACAACTGTTTATTTGACCTATGTCATAGTGTTAAAAGCTTACTAGGCGTGTTGGAACTATAGAATTTGCATAGTCCATTTAATATAAATGCACTCTGAACCTACACAGTTTATACGAAATAAACAAGGGAGTGTGCTTTGTCATTTTTATCTCTTGACACGAATATCACCCCAGCTTTTGAAAAGGCATTTTCATAATGCATTCCAGTTAAAGTTCAGTGTTCTGACACACCTGAATTTAACTTAGTTTTTAATGCATAGATATGCTTGGCTAAATTTACGCATTTCCTTATTTGATGTCCTGGTTCACGTGAGGAAAAAAAGTGCACGGCTTAGGTTAGAGTGAACTTTTAATATTAAATATTTGAAATAAGATATCGCATAGTAAGATATCTTTTGTTCGAACAGCTTTTAATATTTGAATCTGTTTCAATGAGCAAGTCTCAAAGAAAAACATACACCGACAAAGAGACATAAGATACTAAACTGTGCTCGAAAATTCCGACGTGTCAAGCACAATAACTCCAAAATTGTTCTTCGAAGAATCCGTCAAATTCGAAATCGTCCAAAATTTTATTAATTCCAATGATCAAACCATGTTTCATTGAAATAGATTGACAATTGTAGCTTCTATTGTGCTCACGAACAAGTTTTAACAAAGACAATAATTCCAAAACGTCAAATTCGAAATAGTCCAAGATCCCATCATTATAATCACCACAGATTTCATTAATATTAGATGAAAACCGACGGACCGAAGAATAGAGGCGACGACTATACACGCCAATATTTCGATGTGGGCGCATA